TGGGGGGGGGGGGGGGGGTAATTATACACAAAATGTTAGATACTAAAATGTTCCACAATATGCAAAACTAACAGGAAGTTACAGTAGAGAAAGTTCTCATTGCTTCAAAGAAACACATTTTTTTTCATGTTATATTAATCAGGGGGACTCCATCGTATGGCATAGAAAAGAGCTGAAACCTTAAAGTGACATTAAACCCTCAGATTTCTTAACTTAAACCAATACTGTAATGTGCGCCTTACTGTAATCCATGGTGGTTTCCCTTCTCTTTGCTGCTCTTCCTTTTAAATCCTCATCTCTTCTCATGCTGGGGGAGAACTTCTGTTTTGCAGCTGAGTGCCTCTTCCTGTAGTGCTGGCTCAGGTTGTGACCATACACACAGACACCATGTATCCATTCCAGAGACAAGGCAGTCTGCTGCAAAACAGAAGTTCTCCCTCAGCATGAGAAGACATGAGGATTTAAAAGGAAGAGCAGCAAAGAGAAGGGAAACTACCATGGATTACAGTAAGGCGCACATTACAGTATTGGTTTAAGTTAAGAAATCTGAGGGTTTGATGTCACTTTAAGTTTTTTCTGCTTTCTGAGTCTGTTGGGGAGATTTGCCCAACTTCCTGTCCAGATGAACACACTGGAAGTTAAGGGGAATCTCCCCAGGGGAACACATGCAATAAAAATGTGTTCTCACTTTTACCCCCCAACCTGAGCTCCTAGCATTGGGGAGTCACTGACCTGAGCTTCTAGCATTGGGGAGTCACTAACCTGAGCTTCTAGCTGCGGGAAGAGGCGGGTGCTCAGGTCTCCGGCATCCAGGGCCTCAGACACGTCTTTTGTCCAGAATGTCTGACATCCAGCTATGACAACTTGGCCCGGCCAGTTCTTCACCCACTCAGTTCGTGGTGCCTAAGAAGAGGAGGATGAGAATGAAGTGATGATGAAGGGACAAAGATGGTGTGCCAGGATAAGGTAACACCAACTTACCTCTGGATAGGCATTTATTGCTCTTTGGATGTGATCCCTCACGCTGCCCTTCATGACCTTCTCCACCTGCAGTAACCAGTCCTCCACATTTCCAGTGGGATAAATGGGGGTCGACATTTGGACCTCCTCATCCTCTGCGGAGTACATGTGGGTGATCTGCAGGTCTGGCTGGAAAAGAAGCTGCAAGAACAAGAAGAGACATTGTATAGACCACATGAAGATGCTTCAATGCACTTTTTTGCTTCATTTGCTACAGAAACAATAAAACTATTGGAATATTATAATTAAGTGTTACCCATCAGCAGAAGTTTATAAACGTTTTATACTTTGTTTTAGAGTCTGCAAATTTACATCTGTCTTCATTTTTGCTTTGAGCATTTACTTTCCCTCTATATATCCCCCACCTAAGGATCTTTAATCTTTTTTATGGTCTATACTATAGGAATAAAATCATAAATATTTTGTTTCTATCTAGATTGTATTTTCTACACTGTATGGCCAGACAAGTGGACTCCCTTCCAAATCAGTTCAGGTGTTTCCAGTGAAGATCCTGTTAATTCTACATCACACAAAGACATTGTAGACACTTGTGCTCCTCCAGCGTGTGGTCCACAGTTTGGCGAAGACCCTTTTCTGTTCCACCATGATTGACATGGTTTGACTAGCTTGATGAGGAGAACTCAAGTGTCCCTCACAGAGCCCTGACCTGAACCCTACTGAACACCTTTTGGGGTAAATTGGAACCTGGATTGTGAGCCAGATCTTCTCATCCAACATCATTACCTGACCTCATAAATGCTCCATTTGCCACCATGACTGTCCCCTGTGTACAAAGCCAGCTCCATAAAGACATGGTGTGACCAGCTTGGTGGAGGAACTCGAGTGTCCTGCACAGAGACCTGACCTCAACCCTACTGAACAGTTTGGGATTAATTAGAACGCTGACTTTGAGCCGGGTCTTCCCATCCAACATCAGTGCCGGACCTCACAAATGGGACAAATTCCCACAGACACCCTCCAAAATCTTGTGGAAAGTCTTCTACACAGAAGAGTGTTTGTGTGTGTGTGTGTGTGTGTGTGTGTGTGTGTGTGGGGGGGGGG